CATACCATACACATAACATGCAACTAGGAGATAAGGGCCCCGCCCACTCTCATGGAGATTCAGACCCCGCCCACACTCCGCTGTCTAGGAGATTCGGGCCCCGCCCACACTCCGCTGTCTAGGAGATTCGGGCCCTGTCCACACTCCGCTACTAACATGCATACAAGTATCACCCAGACAACAAGTATATCTATTCCTATCAAGCAGTCACATATCTATACTCAAATAATACTACGAGATTCGCCCCCCCCCCCACACACACACACATTCAGGTACTATATGATTCAATCCCCGCCCACACTCAGTTAATAACATATCACATATACGGGCCGACATTGGTGTCGTAGACCCGTTCCTACTAAAGGAAACTCACCTCGCAAAGCTGACTGCTGAAATCTCGAGTGAGGAATCTCCGAAGGCTGCTCCCACGACTCCCCGGTTATTATTATCACAATAAAACTTAGTCAAAACCTGCTAATTTTCCTTAGGGTAAAATAACCAATTTACCCCTGGTCAAAGTCAACCTTCTGGTTGACCCAACTCGTCGAGTCCTAGAATCCTGAAATCGCGATCTAACTCGTCGAGTCTCCCCCCGACTCGCCGAGTTCCCAGGCTACTTATAGTCGCGATTTATCGAATCGACTAGTCGAGTCCTATCACCGACTCGTCGAGTTCTACCTTAAGCTAAAATGGGACAAAACAATCCAACTCGTTGAGTTCCTCTATGGACTCGACGATTTCCTCTGTCTGTTTGGCCATCTTAATAGATTAAGCCTCTACTCTCCAAATATAACGTCCATACTTCATCTACACACTGTAAATGCCCCTTTAAGGGTAAAGTTTCCAACTTTACCCGCTAATAATCCTCCTTAATGGGTTTAGCTAAAACCCTAGTTCATTAAGACATAGATCTTTGTCCACAAGCCTTACTACTCCAACCCAAAGCATGAAAATCAAGATCTAGGCCCTAGACACCCAATGAACACGTAAAGTCTCGGATTTTACTTCCATGCATGGCCTTTTGGGGCTTAAAAGGACATAATAACATCCTTAAGGCTTGGATGGAGCTCCAATGGCATAAAGTATTCACCTTTATGCCTTAAAAACCCTTAATGATTCCATATCTGGAATGTAAGCCACTTGGGACGTCCATGTCCCAAAGATCTAGATTCTTGAACCAAAACCCACATAGAATGGAACTAAAGAGATCTAATGAACTAATAGTCAAGCTAAAGACTTGATTACCAGAAAGTGATGAGGATGGAAGGAAATCTCTGGATCTACTATCTTCTCCTTGAACCTTCTAGCTCCTTCTTCTTCTTCTAGCTTCAAGAACACACAAAATCACTCAAGAATGGCTCACACACTCATAAAATGCTCTAGGGTTTCGTGGATTAGGGTTTGGGACATGGAGGCTAGAAATGAGGCCAAAAGGTGGGGATTAAGATGCTTCAATAGGGTGCAAAAGCCCGAAATTAGGGTTTCACTCTGGCAGACCTACTCGCCGAGTCGAGGGCTCTCGACTCGTCGAGTAGATAGCTTAAAACCCGCGTCCAAAACTCGTATCTACTCGACGAGTCTGGTGCTTCCAACTCGTCGAGTAGCTTTATTAAAATGAATAATTTATAAATAAAAGTGTACCAGAAACCAGGCGTTACAGTTTCAGGGATGAATCTTCTATTTGAAGGATTATCTGAGCCTTCTGTCAAGTGTAAGTGTTCTACAGCTGGTGATGGACAGGAATTTTTGTTTCTGATGGTAGCATAGAGATAATTGGGGGTGGGAAGTTTTATGGTTGAACAGTTATTCGATGAGGTCTTGGCATGGTAGTTTTTGGAGCATAGGCGGTCCGTCAGGGAGACAGACCATTATAGATTTCAGATCTCGGAAAGACCAAAGTAGTTCTCTGTATGACAGTGAGGATTATCCTTCATCGGGTTCGGAAGGTCTTGATAGTTGGGTTCAGTTGCCTTGGGAAGGCCATTGATTGTGCGGGATGAAGGTTGTATTCCCAGGATGACGAGTGTCAGTACCCGTGGGAAAACATCAGATGGTTCAGGGCATGTAGGAGGAAAGTTGCGGGTGTGACGTGTGAGATGGTTGCGGGGTAGGTGACTGTAGCAGACTTCGAGGACGAAGTCTAGTTTAAGTGGGGGAGAGTTGTAACACCCGGAAACCAGAAGGCCAATAAAGGAAAGAAAAACCTCCAATCAAGAAGGCAACTCGTCGAGTTCAAGGGTGAGAACTCGACGAGTAGGAATGTTGTCACGCGTCTTTTTGGAAGACCAACTCGACGAGTTGGAGGGGACCAACTCGACGAGTTGGACGGGGTTTGGGAAACCCTAGATCCGAGATTTTGCATCCTATTTAAACACTTTATGGCCTAGGGTTTGGCCTCATTTCCAGCCTCCATTCTCCAAACCCTAAATCTCGAAACCCTAATGCTATTGTGAGCCATTTTGAGTGTTCTTGTGAGTGCTTGAAGAGCTTTCAAGGAAGGAAAGTTTGAAGAAACAAGGAAGAGTTGCTAGATCCAGAAACCTCACTCCATTTTCGTCACTTTCTGGTAATCAAGTCTTAAACTTGTCTAGTAGTTGATTAGATCTCCATCTTAGCATCTTTATGTGGTTTTTGGTCCAAATGATATGACTCTTGGGATTTGGACGTTCCAAGTGAAGAACACTTCAGATCTAGTGTCTAGAGGGACTCTCATGGCATAAAGGTGCTAACTTTATGGCCATGGAAGTCCCATGCAACCTCTAAGCCTCCATTTTGGCCTTTCTAGCTTCAAAGGGCCATGCATGTGGATAAAGCTTGAAGCTTTATGTGATCTTCTTGTCCCTAGAGTCCAGATCTATGATTCAATGGTTCATCTTGTAGTTTTTGGTGATGTTTGGATTAAGACCTTGGCCTTTTGGGTTAGGGTTTGAGCTTAATCCATTTAGGAAAGGTACTAATGGGTAAAGTTGGAAACTTTACCCTTCTAGAAGCATTTCCAACTTGGATTCGGAGTATAGAGTGTAGATCTAAAGAATAAGGGCTTAATGCATTAAGAAAGGCTAACAGACTGAAGAACTCGACGAGTTCATAGAGGAACTCGACGAGGTAGGTCGAAGAATCCCGACTATGTTTAAAAGGAAGAACTCGTCGAGTTGGAAGAAAACTCGACGAGTTGGATCGTGATTTCACGATTCTGTGATTCATGGGAACGCGACGAGTTGAAGGGTAAACTTGACGAGTCGAGTCAACTGGGAGCGTTGACTTTGACTTTAACCTGGATGTTGACTTTGACCTTGACTTTGACTTTGACCAAGGTTGACCCTGGAAGGTTATGAAGTTTGGACAAGGGTATGTGAGGGGTAGAATGGTCTTTTACCCTAGTGAGGACTTACGGTTAAGTTATGGGAATCCCGAACTTAATTAGTTTATATGATGACTAGCAGCTCGGGGATTTGCTAGCTAGAAGTCAGGGGATTATCTATGAGATTCAGTTATACAATATGAGTTTCCTCCGATAGGGACGGGTCGAAGGCACCAATGTCGGCCCGTTTGTATGTTTGTATGTTTTCCGGATTACGATCCGATGTCGGGCGGGGCTCGAGGAATGTTTATATGTATGATTCCGGACTAAGGTCTGATGTCGGGGGGTGCCCGAGGAATGTCTATATGTTTAGTTATACTTGTTGTCTTTGCGATACTTGTATGTGCCTAGTAGGGAGGTGAGTATGGGCGGGGGGCCGTATCTCATCACTAGCTGGGTATGGACGGGGTTCCATATCTCTTCATTAGCAGAGCAAGGGCGAGGCCCAAGATAGGCGAGGCCTTAGGACTGGAATATATATAGTACTGTGTATGAGTCTTTATGTGCTAGTATGATTATATGATATAGTTGTATGTGTATAGCGGGTGAGGCCCAGAGACAGGCAGGGCCTGGAAGAAACATATATGTATACCGAGCGGGGATCGATGCCAGGCGGGGCCTGATGCCGGGCGGGGCCCGAGGAAGGGGCGGGGGCCCAATATATGTGTTATGTGTATGGTATGTGGTAATTGGGGAGACTCACTAAGCTTCGTGCTTACGGTTTTCAGTTTTGGTTTCAGGTACTTGCAGTTGTAGAGAGAAGAGCTCGGGATGACTGCATTGCACACCCCATGATGTTTAGCCTGAGATGTTTACTCTGATGTTTTGATTTGGAAACTCTGATAATAATGTTTTGAAATACTTAGGCTTATGTTTTGATGAGATGATTTTGATAACTATGGTTTTATCTAATGATTTAAAACGAAATTTTTGGTCATGATTTTTGGGATGTTACACCCAACGAAATACAACAGCCCAACAATAAAATCCAGATGGCCCAACACAGCCCAACCCAACCGAAGCCCAAAACACGAAAGGCCCAAGTCTTCTGAGTACATGGGGCGTACTCAGCCTGTACGCTTAGCGTACTGCTTGGGAGGCGTGTACACGCAGCGTACAGACTTGTACGCCCAACGTACTCACCAGCCCAAAGCCAACTTTCCAATTAAGCACTTAATCCGTTAAGACTTGGATTCAAACTCAGATTTGACTTCCCCAAGGTGGTTAATCACACAAAGTTGCCAACTTTATCTGCATGCATGGCTAAATGGGACTCTAGAGCTCCAAAGAGCTTAATACTTGACTTAATACATGCATGGAACCAAAACCACCATAAAGTTTTCAAACAGTCACATTCTGTTAAAAACTACCTTTACCAACTAGCGATGGTTCTCTCTTTCTTGTCATTTGGATGTGATCAATTCTCTAGACATCTCTCACCTCTTTCTTTTGTTTACTTTTACTCATTAACTTACATTTGGCCATAGACAAACACAAAAACATTCATTTCAAAAAAAAAAAACACAAAAACATTGAAACAAAACAACCACCATTGAAGTCGTAAAATCATAATATGAATATATGATAGTGAGGGTTCGATTGAACCCCAAATGGCTAAATGTATATATATACAAGTCCATCAAAAATAATGTGTCGAAACACTATGTAAAAACAGATATTAATACATTTTATTTGAAGAATAAATCTTAAGAATGATTATATTCATTAAGAAATCCAATTAACCCGAGGCCGATACAAATGATGTAATGAATTGATTCAACGAGTGAGGAGCTTCAAAATTTATGGCATGCCCTACATTCTTAATTATCTCTATCTTCGATTTTCCACCCAAATGCCTGTTTTAAATACACATATACATAAATGATTGTATATATATATATTTTTTTAAAATTTTTTGACTTAAAATGACAAATTGATGATTTTATTTTACTGTTTAAATACCCCTAATCAATCAATAAATAATTATTAAAAAAGAAAAAGAAAAATAAAATAAAACATACCTATGAAGCTGATGTCCCCAATCAAGAGGGAAGACTACATCCTTATCACCCCATATTAGAAGCGTTTCCTTCACTCGAAAAAAAAACGAAGAGTAAATTAAAATAAGATAATATGTTATAAAATTCTATTATCTTTTAAAATACTTAAACATTGATCTGATCTTGACGATTTAGTATTAAAAAACTCGTTTACATCACATATCAGAATAATCCAATATAAAAGATATACATATTATATATGGGCTATATTGTTCTAAGTTTTTCCAAGGTTCTAAATAAATGTGATAATAGTTTAATAGTAATATTTGTAGTTATATTTGATTGTTTGAGAAATTTATAAGAAAGAAGAAAAAAGAAGTCATAATCATACTACTCAAGGAATTCAAATGGTCCAAACCTGTGTCAGGACTGGATAAACAATATCGGGCTTCTCGTTGAGCAAATCAAGTACCAGTTCTTCTTTTTCCTTCATGCAACATTCAAACTGCAAAAGAATCGATCATGAACTTCATATATAGCGAATGAATGATACTACTAATCAAAAGTATAGGAAACATATGTATATAACATTTGGATGAATTTGATTCAACACTTACAGCAATAAACCCCCAAAGAAAGAAATCCGGAATCCACCTACCGACGTCGTACTTTTGAATCGTCATCTGGCACAATATCCGTAAATCCTCAGGTGTCTTAGGCACCAACAAATCCACCACGCTCCGCCCTATCTGCTTCACATGCTCCAATTTCCGATCCTGCTTACACACAATCCCACTACTAACAATCACCAATTTCTCCACCATTTCCTCATGCTCCTCCGCCATCCGGTAGCCAACAAATCCCCCATAACTGATGGCATACACGGAAAACTTCGCCACTCCCATCTTCTTCAACCCATCGCACACACACTTCGCCTGAAACCTAACGCTACGATCCGGTATACTAGAGTAGGAATCACCGAAGAATACGAGATCCGGTATGTAGACATTGAAATCACGTGTCAGCTGAGTTACTTGCAAAATGAACTGCCATTTGGAATTTCCCCCAAATCCATGGATGAGCACAAGGTTCGGCCTGTTGCTGTTGCTGTGGTTGGCTGCCCAAATGTACATCGTGGTTTGGTTGTTGTGGATGTGGACGGTGGATCGGGAGAGGCCGCAGTAGCGGAAGTAAACAGATAAAATGGCATCGGCGAAGGTCACCAGGAAACGGTTAACGACGCCATCAAAGGATTGTAGTGAGATGATTTTCCGAATGAAAAAGAAAGGATGCAGCCACAGGGAATACATGGAAGAGAACATGGGGCAAATGGGAAGGATAATGAATGATGGATGAATATAAAGGGCTACACCATCCTTTTCGAAATAAAAGTCACAGTTGATGAAAACCAGCGGGAACCATTTGGCGTGATAGATTGATGTTTGAGGACTTAAAAAGTAATTATTATTCCTTCAACTTTATTTATTTTCATATATATAATACCTTAAAAATATATAATATAATTAGACCTCTGAAGAAAAAAAACTCGATATAGAAAGCTTTTACATTAAAGTGTAGATGCTGTTAGTTAAATAGATAGAAAACTAAAGTGTAGATTGACTTAAGTGTTACTCATATAACTTTATAAATTGTATATCATGTTAATGTTTGAATTGGTATTGTTGATCGTATTTAATATTTGTTAGTTATGAAAATTATAACAAAAGAGGGAAAAGTAGGGGCCGATTCAACTTGATGCTACCAGTTTTGATGGAAGATTTACCATATAATTCGAAAGGTTAAATCCATATAATTTGTGTTTGAGGAGCCACAATATCAACTACTTAATTTTTCGGACTTTTTTAAATTGACATTTTTGCAAGTCAAAAACTAGCAGATAAGTTAGTTTTTTTTAAAAGCTACTTAGATTTGCTTTTCAGGAGTTTTTTTTTTTAATTTCCGAATATACCCTTAAATAATTATATAAAACATATTCTTTTAAATGTCATTATATGTCATTTTATATCTTTCATCTAGTTTATCAGGTAATTTTTATCAAACTTAATTTTTGATAAGATAGTTTATAAACTAGTAACTAACTTTTCAGCTAACAACTAGTTTTTCAGCTACCAGCTAGTTGTCAAACATAACCAAACAAGTTAACAATATATATTCTTAAAAGTTAAAATGCATGAATAGATATGATAAGTTTTCCTATAGTGAACAATTTACTTATTGATTTAACTTTTTTTATATATTTTTGTAATTTTAAAGATTTTAGATCAATATGGATACAAATATATATTATCATAAAAGATGATGATTCATCATGCATCAATCAATCTTCATGAGGAACTTATGATGGTCTAATGTAAGTACAATAACTAAAAACAATAATCATGTGGAAAACAATATTAAGAAATGAGATATTTTATCTATAATATGAAAAATAATAAAATTTATGTATTATAAAGGTAACAATTTAAATAAGTATATAGATTTTATGAAATAGTAGGATATATATATATATATATATATATATTAAATATGATGATTATGATTGTTTATTCTTAGGGATGAATACAAAACAAAAGGAATCTAGGCCATTTGATTTTAATTATGTGAGAGAATTAGTATCAATGTATGACATTATGGTTTGGTAAGAAAATAAGAAATAATTTATTTCTGTTTTGAGACTTGAATGGTATTTACTTTATAGTTATATAAGCCTTCATTTACAATCTTCAAATGTTTATTTTGGACATCACTAAACCATAAAGCATCTTTCATGTCTCTTTCGTTCCATAATTTTTTTAAAGACAAAATTGCAAAAATGGTCTCTGTGGTTCGTATTTTTTCCAGGTTTTAGTTCAAACCCCGATTTTTTTGGCTCTGTGGTCCTTTTGGCCATGTTTCTATGTAAAACTGGTCCCCCGACATAACTCCCGTTAAGTTGTTGTTGTTAACCCTGTAACATCCGATTTCATGTTCTAATTCTTTTATCCCTTTAGTTGAGATTTTTTCGAAAATATGGTCCCTCGTACGCTGGGCATACGTTTGGGTACGCTTAGCGTACGAGATTGCTTTTATCGCAGAGGTTTAACCATGTACGTTGGGCTTACGTGGTGTATGCGGGGCGTACGTCTGTTAGGGTCAAACCCTAATTTTTAGGGTTTGCACCCTATTTAATCATCATTATGGCCTTTGGACACTTACCCTCCTCAACCTCTACTATTCATTACGTCCCATTGAAACCCTAGTTCATCCTTTGAGTGTTTTTGAGCATTGGAAGATTTTGTGGCAATTTTTGGTGTATTCAAGAAGAGAAACTTGGAGACCAAGCATTTGTTGAGGTTGAGCTTCTAGATCCAGATTCTTCATCAACTTTGGGAGCTTTTGAAGGTATAAAGTTATTACCTTGATGATTCATTTGATAGTTAGAGTTTAGGGCTTTTTATGAGCTTTATTTGGTCCCATGGGTTCTCTTTGTGAGTTTGGGTAACTCCATGAGTTAGAGGTGTTAGATCTCAGTCCCTTTGTTGTTATAGATGCATAAAAATGTCATCTTGATGGTTTATATGAGTCCATGCATGAATTTGAGTCCTTAATATGAGCTTTGATGGATAAAAATGGATGTCGGGTTCCACTAAGACATGCTAAGGGTTAAAGTTGCCAACTTTATGTATTAGAACCATAAAATAGACGAGATCTGAAAGTTGGACCTAATGGTTGAACGGATTAAGCACTTATTGGCTCAAGGTGGCAAGCAGCCTAGTACGCTAGGCGTACCACATGGTACGTTGCGCGTACTGGCGGTCGAGTACGCCAAGTGTACACTACGTACGCGGAGCGTACGCCTCGTTGTGGGCTTTTGGACTTCGGTTGGGCTATGTACCTTTGGGCCTTAGCTAGGTTTGGGCCTTGGACTGTTGGAGCTTTAGCGGGCCTCAAAATTTATTAGTGGACCTAATGTTGCATGAGTTGGGCCTTTTTTGGCCTTGGGGTCCATTATTGTGTTATTGGGCCAAGTTTGGTTAGGCCCATTATAGGAAGGGTAGAATGGGCTTTTATCTTAAGGGTATGGATTTGGGATTTAGATCCACAGTTATGGTTTATAACCTATTTCTGATTAGGGTGATTTGTTTGTGTTCAGTGTGGGATCTTCTGATTCAGTAGCCGAGCATTTAGTTATTTATCAGCGAACTGAGGTGAGTTTTTCTCACTGTATTAATGGGTTGAAGGCGCCATGGTCGACCAGTTATCTGTGATATAGGATGCTAGCTATATTTGTGATATGTGTATGAAAGACCAGGATTTGGCCCCTGACAACTGTATGAAAGACCAGGATTTAGCCCTTGACAACTGTATGAAAGACCAGGATATGGCCCCTGACATCTATATGAAAGACCAGGGTCTGGCCCCTGGCAACTGTATGGAAGACCGGGGAAGGGCCGGGCATGATGTCACAACATTCTCTCCTCACTATTTTCTACACCTTTTTATATTGTACTCTGATGATTTGACATTGTTATTATGTGATGGTTTTAAAACAATATGATGATTTTAACTCTTGTAAAATGAAAAAATTTATCCTGGTTTTTGGGTTGTTACAAGTTGGTATCAGAGCCTTAATTTGAGGGATTCGGACACACTTTCAAGTGTGTCAGAACTCAAACTGAGGAAATGATAATCTTTTCAAAAGAAAAAGAATTTGAATTTTTGAAAAAGATTCTTTTAAGAAAAAGGGGAGTACAATGCATGCAATCAGCCGAGCTCAAGTAAGTGTTTCCCAAGTTACACATACTTATGTATTGTGATTAGTATGCTGGATATGTGAACTGCATGCTAGATTAGGGATAAGGATACCTTCGGGAATCATATGAATGAACTGCCTGACTTGTGTGATGCCTTATACCTCGATAGAACTTGATGCCATGTATTACTTTGAATTAATATCGGCTCAGTTATTGGCTATGTGTATGCTTTCAAAAGCTGTATATGATTAGGATTGTATAGCCCTAGAATAATCAATTTAGCCTCATTTCTTGTTCCTTGTTTGGTTATGAACTTAGGGTAGAATCTTCATTCGACAGTCTATGCGATCATATTTTGTGTACAACTTGCATGCATAGGGCAACCAACGGTGTTGATTGAGGTTCTTGGTACTGCTAGTGGTGAGGGTTAAGATTTCCTATAAGATTCTAGGATATGTATACTTTGTAGAATATGTTTGTTCTTGGTTGTAGTGTGGTAACTCAGAGGAATCAGAATTTACCTTGAGGAAGGTACAGGTTGGTGTGGAAGGTAGTATTAGGCCCGTACTACTGGAAGCACAGGACCTGTACCTGAGACAAGTGTAGATCTTGGGATTCTAAGGGTACCTGTGTGTTGCGATTTTCCCTCGAGTGTTTGTTGATTTTTTATATCTTGTGTTTCAGTTTGAGGATGGTGGCCACTCGTTTGGGATCGGGAGGTACTGGTTCTAGCTCTGGATCTGGTTCAGGTTATGGCTCTGGCTCAGAACCGATTGATGAGAGGTTGCGTGAGCTCATTGCAGCCGAGGTTACTCGCGGTATTCTTGACGTTGCCCCCGTGATCTTCGGTATCGTCAAGGAGGGGATTTTGGAGCTCATGGAGGAGCGGCTCAGGTTTTTTCGACCCGAGATTGTTGCAGGTCAGATTGGGACTCGAGCTCCCTCATTCCTGGAGTTCAAGGCGTGTGGAGTGCCTGAGTTCTTTGGGGTTAAGTACCCCATCGCTAGCCATTGTTGGATCACTGGTATGGAGAATGCTCAGCGTACGAGCTTTTTCCCTGAGGAGGAAAAGGTGGGATTCGCGTCCTTTTTACTGGGGGACAGAGTGTAGGACTGGTGGGAGGAGGTTACCTAAGCGGTAGGTGTTGGATTAATGTCTAAGTCCATAACTATATTTGGTATGTACTTGACCCGACCCGACATGGTCCATTTGGGTTGCACTTCACCGGCACAATTTATATGGATAGTCTTCTGAGAATAGTATATTTATGATTTATATTAATATATTATAAGTTCTAATATATTAATATGGAATCATATTATTTAATTAGTATTGATCAAGAATTAATTTAGAATTAATTAAGTGATCAAAAAAGAACTAATTAAATATGGACTCTTATATATATGGAATGGGCCAATTTCATTTAGGTTGGACTAAGCTTTCATGGATGGTCCATGGAGCTTTTAACCCATGGATCCTATGTAAATGAAAGGTCATGGGTATTAGGGTTTACATGGATGTAACTCTAATCCTCCATAATAATATAAAGGGGTCCTTGGCTCACAAAATTGGCACAAGTGTGTGAAAATAAGAGTGGGCCGATTTTAGTGTGCATACATATTCTCTCAAGTTCTTCCAAGGTGTTTTGGTGATTTGTGA